GTCACTACTGTGCAGCCCCTAAACTTTGTTTGAGGGCCAAAGCACTTTTTAGGTGCTTGAAATCCATTCAGTCATAACTGAGACCTAAAATAACAACCACCCCGATATGTCTAGATCTTGTGTCAAATCACATTTATACACAGATAAATGTGTTGGTAACCCTACAACTCATTGAAACAATCTTGTTATTTTTAAAAGTCACTCAATATCAGTAAATCTGGTTCATAAAAACAGTTAAAGATTGTTAGAGTTATCTTACTTTATCATGCTGAGATCCCCGGTCTTGTCTGCACAGAGTCGGACTAGCTATGGCCCGATTCTGTTCAGATGAGATGGGCCCAGCTGCTCTGACTGAGCTTCCCTGGGTCAACACCCAATAAGGAGTAATATTTTATTTTGTTGGCCTCCATCATGTAGACAGATTTGCACTTTCACCCCATTTTTCATTGTCAGAACCAATGATGTCACACATAGTCACCCCACTGATACACTCTGATAGGCTGTGCTCCCGGAAGAAGGCGGAGCCTAGGGCCAAGAAAAAGAACGGAGGGTTGAGCCACGTCAGCTCTTCCGGTTTTTGAGCTCCTTGTGTGTCGAGTCGGAGACATTCAGCACTGAACCTGTAACTTTTTCCTGCCTGATGAACATTAAATTTGTAAATGGAAATTATATCTCTTGATTTATTTGAGTTAGAGTGAGTTTCCTCTCCATCTGGGAATAAAAGAACCAGATGCCGGTGGTGGGGACCTAGACCGGTTTCAGGGACGGACCCAGTTCCAGATTCCACAATACCTTTCAAAATAATTAGAAGTGAATCAATTTAGCACAAAGCCAAAAATGCCAAAGAAGTATATCAATCAATCAATTAGTACAGTATGATCCACACTGTCAAAGGCTTAAGATAAGTCCAATAAAACAGCAGAGTGAAATTTCCAGAATCGACTGCCATCAACAAGTTACTTGAAACTTTGATTAATATTGTCTCTGTGGAGGGACATTTGCAAAAATTAGACTGGAAAGTGTCCATATTTTTTCTCCAAAAAGCAATTCAGTTGGTCTGCTACAGCCTTCTAGAGAATCTTTGACAAAAATGGTAATTTAGCGATAGGTATGTAGCTAGCAGGAAAAGAAGAATCCAAATTAGGCTTTTTTTAGCAATGGGTAGACAACAGCTTTTTTTAAAACAGCAGGTCACATTGCCAGAGCAATGAGAAGAAAAAAAAAATCAGTTTTACAACACTGGGGCTAATAGTCAAAAACATCTATATAAAAGATGTAGAAAGGACATCAAGGGGACTAGAAGATAGATTAATTTTGCCCAGTGGTGCTGTGATGTCCTGTATCAACGCTGGAATGAAAAAGGACCATGTATCGGAAGTACGAAGGAGAGAAACCAGACCAAGGGATGCAGAGAGAGAGATACCGATCTGATGCCGGCAACTTTGGCTGTGAAATAATTTAAAAACAAATTGCAATCTGCATTTGTAAAAGCAATTGTAGTGGGTCAAGTTGGCAAAACAATGTTCTTCATTGTGTCAAACAAGATTTTAGGATTCTTTCCTTTTTATGCAATGAGGTTTGCAAAGTAATTAGTTCTGGCATTCTTTAGCAACTCGTTTAAAGAGCAAATCAATAATTTAAGGTAAAGTCTATGAACCTTAAGCTTAGTGCTTTTCTACTTTAGTTCAGCCTTACGAGATACTCTCCTCTTGTTAAGGATTTCCTTATTCATCCAGGGACAGATTGTGCAATGGACAGAGTTCTGATTCATAGGTGCAATTTTGTCCAAAATGTTGTTACAATGTGTATTGAAAGATGAAACAAATGAGTCCACATTCATCACATTGAAACCTAAAGATGGAGAGAAGAGAAAGCTAAAGGAGAATGTTATTTACGATTCTTCTTTGGACCAGTAGTCTAGGAGGAACTGGATCAAAATTAAAAGAGACATTAAAATTTATACAACTGTGATCCCTTCAAAATAAATCCTCTACATGAACATCATTCACATCAAAACAAGGTTCAATGTGTGGCCTTTTTTACGAGTAGGGACACACACATGCTGAGGAAAATTAAATGACTCTGTAATGGAGATAAGATCAGCAGCTGCGTTACACGAAACATTAATGCGTAGATTGAAATCCCCCAAAATTAAGACATTCTCCATCTTAATGATGGATGAGAGAAACTCATTGAATTCAGAAACATAAAGATACTAGCTGCACCTGGAGGATGATAAAAATGATTTGAAATATATTGAAACACTTTCAAAAGGCGAGCTTTGACTTTTTGCAGCTCAAATGCAGAAAAGGGGATTGTATTGACAAGTCTACATGAAAAACAATCCTTAGATGCAGCTGCTAAGCCACTGCCTCGGCGTACTTCACGTGGTATTTCCCAAATACAAAACGGTTACTTGGGCAGCGTTCCCACAGATGAACATAATTCATGCTTTGCCACCACGTTTCAGTCAAAAACGAAATTGTGGGACTTTTCAATAATGAGATTATTTAAGGCAAAAGACTTGTTACTTACGGAGCGCGCATTAGAGTACCATGCGAAGTGATAACATGTTGATAGCATTCACATCAGCTGATAGCGGCGCATAGATTGAACTGTGCACATCCGGAGGGAGGTTACAATCCCTGATGAAGAACATGAAGACCTCCATCAATGCAGGGAAATGTAGTTAAAAGTCCCTTTAGTTAACAGGGAGGTGGTAACCTGCACTGGCCAGACTGTACGCAACATGGTAGTGTTGCAGCTAGATGACACCAGTACAGGCTGAAAAAAACAAGAACGTTCCCATTTTCCAGCAAGAAATCTAGAATACAGATCTACAATATCAAACAAACCTAGGCGCCAGCTCTGTATCCACTCTTTTGCTTCCTGCGTCTGAGATTTTGCAGTTCGCAGCAAACAAACAGATGTGGAAAAACTCCCTGTTTCCGCTATCACAATATTCCATCAATGACTCTTTGATCGAAAACAGCTCGTCCGGATCATAAACACAGGCAGCAGAAATGCCAGAGTTCTTATGAAGATCAATAAAAAAAAGTGCAGATGGTAAAACACGCAGAGAAGGAGCTGGAGTGAAGCTGGCAATGCCACATATAGGCGCCATCTTGGGTCACAGAAGATAATAATGATAATAATAATTTAATTATGTTAGGCTAATTGGTAACTCGTAAAGGAACTTGTCACGCCTAGGTGCAGGCATACACCAAAAAGGAATTTGGCCCATTGCTAGATTTTCAGTTCATCCAGCTCACAAGGTTTACATATAAATAGCAGCAGCTATTTTGGATTTTGACTTGGCAACCCAGTTTTTGATAGGAAACTTTCTCAAATATGGATGCAGCCACAGATTAAAAGGAAGTTTGTCCGTTGCTTATTTTTCCAAGTTATTCAGCTCACAAGGTCTAGATATTTATATGGCAGTGGCCATCTTATATTTTTGACCCGGTAACCCAGTTTTGAAAGGAACCTTTTTTATGCCTAGATGCACCGACACACTAAAATGGAAGTCAGTACCTCACACATTTGTCAGGTTATTGCTCTCACAACAAATGGGTGGACAGAGGTTAATTTCCATTCCCCCTTTTAGCTTTGTGTGGACAACAAACAGACGCTGGGTTGTTTGTTACTGTGGTGTTCACCATACCAAACATGGAGTATAGAGCTGTCTGAGGAGCTCAGAAAGAAAATTATAGATATTCAAATTAAATGTAAAGTCCAAGACAATCTCCAACCAGCTATATGTTCATCTGTATACTGCAGATGTTAGACAAAAAGCCAAGGAAACCATCCAAAAGCATGTAAGTAAAACTCCAAGGTCAAGGTACGTTACTTTCTAATGGCACCATCAGTTGCATTTTTATCTACAATGAACTAAATGGACGAAGACTTAGGAAAGCTCCACTAATGACAGAAAATCCCAAAGCCAAACAGAATTCACCAAAATGCATGTCTTGCACTGTTGAGAGAAAATGGAGCTTTTTGCCCAGTCCCTTCATTTTTTTCTTTTTCTTTATTAATATTATGGAAGGGCACCAAGCAATTAGTCCAAATCTATAGCATGTAGTGTTTAAATCCTTGACTGTGTTTCATGATACTTCTGTTGCAGTCACAGTCGCCTGTTAAGTGTTAAGGAGGGGGCTTTTATGACACAAATTTAGTTAGGCCATCTCTGAGAATGTCATCAGAATAGAAAATATGTAGACACAAGACAGCAAAGAAAAGAAAACACCAAGCTGATTCTAATATAGCAACATTTAGAAACAGAGGAACCCTGTACAGAAACTGACTGTGTAGAAGTAATCAGAGGTGTGTTTCCTCCTGACTCTAGTAATTAACAAAATGACATGTGAACACTATTGAATGGTGCTAAAACCACCTGTCATATATACAAAGGTGAATAAATTGGCTTGGGTTCCTATGTATTCCATTCCTCTCAGAGTAACGAGAAGCTCTACAACTAGAGTAGGCGGGATGAGCCTTGAGAAGAAATAATTACAACAATTACTTCTTTTACTTTATCTCCGCCTGGCACATGCTGCACACAGTCACATATGTGCAGAAAGAATATAATAGCTGTGGTAAGTGAAGTACTGTCAGCAGTAATGACGGTGTTGCCAGTAAAAGAGGTGCCATACCAGCAGGAACCGTGAAGTAATATATGCTTAAGAAGACACTAACGAATGCTTCAGTACACTCAAACACACACACACCCACATACACACACAAACTGCTCATGTGTTAGAGATAGTACTGTAATTATTAAATAGATACAAGCAAAGAGGCATGCTGAAAAACAAAGATTTTATTGGAAAATTAAAACGAATCAGCCTGATTTCGGTAAGATTCCTCCAACTTTGTGCGATGAAGGATTTTTAAGTTTAAAGTAAAATATATAGTTATAATACAAGAATGATTGTGCAAAATATATATGAGATTTGAGTTGTCCTCAGAAGTAAAAAATAAGTAAACTCAACTCCTACCTGTTTGTTTACTGTCTTTGTCTCCTCCAACTCCTCACTTGTTCAAGTGTATCCTTCATGGAGATTTTCCAAGGAGAGATCTTCCCGAGGTTGGCACAAGAAAACGTTCTGTTTTTCTTGGACTTTTGACAAGTTCTCTGAGGTTTTGCCACATTTACAGGAGACAAATCAGGACCTGAAATGAGACAAAAGAAAACACAAATAAAAGAGTTTTTGTAATTAAACTGCTAAAAAGATGGCACGTTTTATATGTTCTTCTAACCCACTTATCTAGTTCAAGGTAAGAGATGTTGGGGGTGGAAAGGAGAGAGCTGGGTTGGTGTCACAGCTGCTGCTGGGTGACCAGTAATTTGGAACATGGTGAAACTCAAATTGCATTTTTGAGTTCCTTAAAGAAATAGCTTTAGGTGGTCCTTTAAGAAACATATTAGCTATATCTGGACATTTCTTTAAATTTGAACAATTTGGACTGTTTAATGTGGATCATTTGTGAATAAATTGCCAATTTGGTTTTTGCAACCAAAATTAAATATTCTCAAGGAGCAAACATTTTAAAGTAAGATCTGTCAGTGTCCAGAATATGTTTTGAAGATCAGTCTCGGGTACTACCACACCAAATACCAGGTCAATATCTGTAAAATTCAAATAATGTGACCATTTTTGTGGTTGGATTTGTTGTTGGCTATGGCAGCCTGTCTACTTCAAAATGGTTGTTTTGTTCTAGATGTACTGTATAACTAATGAATATATTCTGTTTCACCAAAAATTGCCCAGTAGTTCATTAGATATTTGGGTAACAGATACATCAACACTCATCTTTTGCCTTTCTGTGGCAGTCAATAACTAGTTGTAGCTTTGCTACTGAGAAGAGTAGAACAGCAACAAAAAGTTTGTCTCAAAAGTTCTTGCTTCATCATGTTTGTAAGGTGCATGTAAGTCTGTTTTCACATCAACTTGTTGCAGGTCTACTTTTGACTAAGGAAACGGTTTGGCAAGAGCCTTGTGTCTGTTGGCTTCACAAAGCATTAATTTGCTCTTCGTGTCTATTTGTTTAGTGTAGTAAAAAACTGTTGGCTCAAAGTTTCAGATCTCAGTGGTGGCAATTAAGCGTTTGGCCTGAAAGGGTTCTTACATGCCAATACTAAACATATCCATGCAGGAGGGCATAGCCGGTGACTGAAAGCAATTATTATTTGAATATCAACTCTAGCTTTGATAATATACAAATGTAAAAATGAAATGTGAATTTGCTGAGAAACTTTGAAGAACAGATAATGGTTAGAAGTTTTGAGACAGTAAGATATGTGCAACCAACTCATGACAAGCTGGTGGAACAGTGAGGCTACAAGTAGCAGAGGTCACAAAGGTGCAGGAATCTGAATACTTAGGGTCCACCATCCAGGAAAATGGGGAAGTGAAAAAAAGAGTCCATGCAGGATGGAGTGGATAGAGAAAAGTTTGTGACAAGAGTGGCTACAAATGTTAAAGCTTACAAGACAGTGGTGAGACCAGTTGCATGGTCTGAAGACAGTGGCATTGACAAAAAGACAGGAGAAAGAACTGGAAATGGCAGAAATGAAGATGTTGAGGTTCTCCTTAGGAGTGACAAGGATGGATAAGATTAGGAATAAGATCATCAGAGGTACAGCACAGTTTGAACAACTGGGAGATAAAGTTAGAGAGACCAGACTGAGATGGTTTGGGCATGTCCAGAGGAGGGACAGTGGGTATACTGGTAGAAGGATGTTAGAAATGCAGCTGCCAGGAAAAAGTCAAAGAGGAGATGTTGGAGTGAGGACACAGGATGCGGACAGAGTGAGATGGAGGAGGATGACTTGCTGTGGCGACCCCTGAAGAGGGAAAAGCCGAAAGAAGAAGAAGAACCAACTCATGACTAGAAGCCATCAGGAACTTATAATAGGAGATTCAATCATTTTCAGTCTGAGCCTTTCTATTTATCTAAAGGCTATTTATTGTTCTTACTCTCTCTTTTTGTCATTACTTATGATTTTTCCTGTGACACTTATCCCCGCTTTTTCAGCTGTTGTGATTTTATTTAAATTATCACCATGGGGGCCAGAAAAGCAGGATAATAACGATGACAATTATGGCTAATGATGCATCAGAAGAGTACAAGGTGGCAGATGGCTCAACTGCAAGTGGCACACACAATGAGAAGCTACCTATCTGCTGTTTCAGTCACAGAGCAGAACACCTGTCACAAAACACCTCTAGCCATCAGCCCACAACACGTTTGCCATCTATGAACAATTCTTGCAAATAAGTGTCAGGGAAAGTGACACGCACAGTCCACTCCTTAGTCGGTCTATCTCTGCTAGACTTTCCTCTCTGCCCCTCTGGATGTCTTATTCTGTCTTTCTCACAGTCCGATCAGCAACTTTGCTCCACTTCTTGATGCAGAGACACACACATATACTGTCTAAATTAGTTAGGAAGAGCCTGGCTGGCTACCCCAAACTGACCTGAGCTTGTCATCTCATTCTTAGTAATAATACTGGGTTAATCCAGCCAACCTTTATTATGATGAATCAAGAAATATGTCTCCATTAGGCTTTATCATTACTAGGCACAGCACGCAAAAAGAAATAAGCCGATGTCCCATAGAAACTAATACAACACATCTTATCAGATATAATTGTGGAACAGTGGAAGAGTCAAAGAGCATGTTGTGATAGCAGACAAGAAAAAAATAGCACGTGATCATTACATGATCAGGGAAGATTTAAGGCCCTGATCACACCACTCCCCTAATCTTTTAATTCCCATGTAATTTACTTTAGTTTTAAACAAACTTTTGTAAAGAAATTACAACAAAATTGCTGAAGTAACAATGCCAAGCCAGTAGGGGGCGATAACACCCTTAATGACGTGAAGCTTCACACATGACATTCAGAACTGTTTACCATTTCCTCAATGTTTGATAAAAGATTATTAGCAATAAAATCAATTCCAAGAGAGCCATATCTAAAAAGAATACTATATTTTTCGGACTATAAGGCGCATAAAGCAAAACAAAAACATTTTGACAGATTTTTGAGCGCCGTGTACCACATAAAATCGTTTCGAGGTCAGTAAGCACAACCAGAATTAAAACATAAGGTGCACTGGATTATAAGGTTCACTGTTGATTTTTGAGAAAATTAAAGGATTTTAAGTGTGCTTTATAGTCTGAAAAATATGGTAATGTAAAAATTGATTACCTGTTGATGGTTTCTAAAACAATAGAGGACAGGTCCAAAAAAAAGCCAGCCTCATCAGAAGTTCTAGTTTACATGAACACACTTCAAACATTTTATATGCCAGTTTCTCATTAAACAGTGTTCTTGTAAACATGATAGAGAAGTGCAAAAATAGAAAAAAATATTACTTTTTCCCCCTAAATATCTGTTACTTTGAACATATTCATCACAAATGTTTGCTGTTGTTTTTGTTTCAGCTGCTCCCTTCTTCTTGGGTTTCCACAGCGAGCAAGCTCACGTGAAAGGTGTGGCAATTGTTTTAAGCCAGACGCCCGTCCTGATGCATCCTGGGCTCAGACCTGCAGCCTCTGGACTACCCAACCTGAGGCTGCAGGTTTTTACTGTTTTACTCCAGTTGCTAAGAACAAAAACGAAAATATATAGAAAACTTTGATTGTACTAACTTTGTTCATAACAAAAATGTCAATCTGTGCAAATAATTGGTACAACATATCTTGCAACAATTTTTCTTCTAAAAAAAATGTAATAATAAAACTACTACTACTACTACTACTACTACTACTACTACTACTACTACTAATAATAATAATAATAATAATAATAATAATAATAATAATAATAATA